CTTTGCACATGCTGGCATAGAAGCCAGCTGGTTGTACTGAAACTTGGATTAATTTAAAGTGTAAGAAATGGAGCTTAACACAAATGCAGGTAGGACTGAAGTTACTTCTTAACCGTGTGTGTGTGGAGGTGTAAGAAAGGTGGCTGTAAATCAGAGAAGGTATTAACTGAATCCTGAGGTCACAGGGGAAAAAACCTGTATACATACTGAAGAAGTCAATCGTTGAAGTAAGGTATAATGAGAAATGGATAAAAGAGGGAAAATTATATGGGACCGTACTGAAAACATTCCAAGCTGCCAACCCTAATTAGTGTTTGTGAAATCCCTGGCTGTTGCCATGGCAATAAATGTGATACTACAAATGCAGCATTCTGACTTCTTCACAGGATCAAGCAAAGTTGGAAAGGAGCAAATCCCTGTGTAAACATCAATATCGTCAATTAATTAGGAAACACAGCAAGATAAATAATAAGACCCCATGAAAGGTAAAATAATTTCTGTTTTCTGTCTGCTATATTTGAAAGTTTCCCCAGTATCAAGAATGTCTGTAATTCACTTTCATTCTACCGTAATGTTTTATCAAAGACCACAGTGCAATTTATCGTGGAGAGAGTTTTTTAATGCGTTACTTAGCAGGTTAAAGACTGTGGGTTATTTGAGCTATTTCAGCTACCTAAACACGTTTCTTTCTTTAAATGTCACTTAGCTTGTTTATTTATTTATTTGAGATAAAATTCCACCTAACCAAGCCCAAAGTTCTCTGTTCTTTTAAGAAAAATTGATAATCTAAAATGGAGCAGATCAAGTTGAGTGCGATCACACGGCATGTTCAGGATACCCAGGGGATCAGGCACAACCAGCATGGATTTATGAAAGGCAGGTCCTGCTTGACCAACCTGATTGCCTTCTCTGACAAGGTTACCCACTCAGTGGATGAGAGAAAGGCTAATGTGGATGTTGTCTGCCTAACTTTTGACAGCCATAGCACTCTTCTGGAGAAACTGGCCTCCCATGATTTGGATGGGTGTACTCTTCACTGGAAAAAAGCTGGCTGGATGGCCGGGCCCAGAGAGCAGTGGTGAATGGAGTTACATCCAGTTGGCAGCCAGTCACAAGGGGTATTCCCCAGGGCTCAGTGTTGGACCAGTCCTCTTTAATATCTTCATCAACAATCTGCCCAAGAGGACCGAGTGCATCCTCATCAAGTTCAGAGACTCCCACCAAATTGTGTGGGTGTGTTGATCTGCTGGAGGGCAGGAAGGCTCTGCAGAGGGATCTGGACAGGCTGGATCGATGGGCTGAGTCCAATTGTATGAGGTTCAGCAAGTTGAAGTGCCAGGTCCTGCACTTGGGTCACAACAACCCCATGCAACGCTACAGGCTCGGAACAGAATGGCTGAAAGCTGCCCAGCGGAAAAGGATCTGGAGGTGCTGGTTGACAACTGGCTGAACATGATCCAGCAGTGTGCCCAGGTGGCCAAGAAGGCCAATGGCATCCTGACCTGTATCAGCAATAGTGTGTCCAGCAGGATCAGGGCAGTGATTGTCTCCCTGTGAGGTCTCAGCACTGGTGAGGTCAGCACTGGTGAGGTCACACCTCAAATCCTGTGTTCAGTTTTGGGCCCCTCATGACAGGAAAGACATTGAGATGCTGGAGCATGTCCAGAGAAGGACAATGGAGCTGGCAAATAGTTTAGAGTGAAAGTCCTATGAAGAGCGGCTGAGGGAGCTGGGATTGTTTAGCCTAGAGAAAAGGAGGCTCAGGGGGGAAACTTATTGCTCTCTTCAACTACCTGAAAGAAGGTTGTAGACAGGGGTGGTGTTGGTCTCTTCTTCCAGTTAACAAACGATAGGACAAGAGGAAATGGCCTCAAGTTGAACCAGTTTAGATCAGTTATTAGGAAAAATTTATTCACTGAAAACACTGTAAGAGGCTGCCCAGAGTAGTGCTGGAGTCACCATCTTTGGGGGCGTTTAAAAGATGTGTAGATGTGGCACCTGGGGACATGGTTTAGTCGTGGACTTGGCAGTGCTGAATCAACAGTCAGACTGATTGATCTTAAAGGTCTTTTACAACCTAAATGATTCAATGATTCAATGAAAATATTAAGCATTGTGAAAAAAATGCCTTTTTTTCCCCCCATGGTCTTGTCTCTTACATGACTTCAGAACTTTGCACTACTTGAGTAGTTTCATTACACACACATAAGTATCTTGCCATATACAGAGCATCTATTTACAGGTGTGTCATGGTTTAACCCCAGCTGGCAATTCAGTGCCACAGAGCCACGTGCTCACTTCCTGCTGCTGTGATGGGAGAGAGAATCAGAAGAGTAAAAGGGAGAGAACTTGTGAGTTGAGATGAAGGAAGGTTAACAGGGAAAGCAAAAGCCATGCACAGAAGCAAAGCAAAAGCATGAATTCATTCACCCCTTCCCATGGGCAGGCAGGTGTTCAGCCATCCCCAGGAAAGCAGAGCTCTATCACACCTAAGGGTAAATTGGGAAGACAAAGGCCATCATCTGAATGTCCCCACCTTTCTTCTTCTTCCCCCAGCTTTTATTCCTGAGCATGATTTCATATGGAATGGCAAATCCCTTGGGTCATTTATAGTCAAGTGCCTTGGCTGCGTCCCCTCCCAACTTCTTGTGCATCCCCAGCTTCCTCACTGGCAGGGTGGGGTGAGGAGCAAAAAAAGCCTTGCCTCGGTGTAAGCACTGCTCAGCAGTAATGAAAACATCCCTGTAATATCAACACTGTTTCCAGTACAAATCCAAAATACAGTCCTGTACTAGCTACTGTGAAGAAAATTAACTCTACCACTGCCAAAAGCAGCACAAGCTAGAATTTCAGCCTTTTCTTTAAAGAAAATCCTTGAGTTTGTGGGTTTAGGTCAGAATCTTGATCTCATTTGACATTCACAGTCATGTCACAGTTTCAAATATTCAAACTTCTTCTGTAATCAAATGCAGCCAGAACATTCCATATTATAAATATAAACATAAGGGTGTCTGATTAAAAAAGAAAACAGAATAAAATTTGCTATAAATGTTTCCATATGGTAAACTAGATTCTTTTACTTTTATTTGACAAATTACTGCATTAATAATTCTCACAAACATAGGTCTGGAATATAATTCTCAAATATGTAATTTGCTGCTAAGAATTTGATTGATACCCCATTTATTCAATTACTACAGCAGTAGTTTGGCATTTTTGAAAGTTAATCTTTCTTGTCCATTAGTAATTATTGTTTAATCCATATCTTGCAATATTCCTAATGGTTGGTTTCATTAATTTAATAAAGAACGGCTAAATATTTATTTTCTAAATACTATCTAGTTTGTATCACAAAACATGTGATTAACCACGATTTTGAATAGTCTCATGAATGACTTTTATAAGCAGGGTAAAGAAGGTCGGTTTGAATACCCAAGTTATTTTGAATTTTTCAATGCTTTTATCATGTTTACATATAATTCAATACAGTGGCAGCATAAGGGAAAGAAAAGGAAAAAAAATAAGAGCATTCACTGGACACCAGCTCAGCAAACAGAAGTTTTTATTCCCAACTCTGTGACTGAGATGCTGTATGTCCTTGGGCATGGCATTCTCCTCCTTCTTTTTATTTTGTCTATTTGGACTGGAGTTTCTCCTGGTTGGGTACTGGAGGTGCTAATTAGGGTAGCTAGCAAAATGGGGTCCTGATCTCTGCTGTGGCCTCTAGGTGTTGCTGTAATACAAATAATTAATCAAAAGACATGTTTCATAGAGTTGCCAATTTTTCCCAGAACCATGCTTAATTTTATACAGTTAAACTCCTCTCTCCCCCTCCTCAGCATAATTGAAATTTTAGCTTTGAATATTGGAAAAATGAACTTGAATGTGAAAAGTAAAAGTAGGGAAGCTGTAGAAAGAGCTTTGACTCACCTCTAGTCACAGTTTCTCATTTTTGGGTGCCTTGGTGCCAGTCTCTTATCCAAGGATGGTCTCTACCAGAGGAACCTGCTATTATATTCCTTACTCAGCCCAACCTTCCACTGCCAGAGTAACCACTGGACATCATATCCCTTTGCAAAGGCTCTGCCACTGATGTGGTTTAGGAGTATAGGCACACAAGGCACACATAAGGACACAAGTGCAGGTGAATTAGATCAGAATGTAGAGTTTTCTCATGTGTAAGGACACAAGGCCCTAAAATAATTACAAATTGAGATAATTGTGAGTTTAGTAAGGATAAACTTTGTCTTGGAGGGTGAAAATTCAGACCCTGATGTGGGTTCGTCTCAAGGTCTGAATGTTTTGCTTAACAAGGGACAAGTATGCAAAACACATTTTCATTATCATTAATTTTAAAAATAAGTCATAGAAAAATATCCACCAGAAAATAATTTGGAAGAGTTTGCCCAGTGTCTTGTTTTGTCACGTTTCCAAGGAAGGAGTTGCCAATCCTGCAGCTGCCAATCCTGCAGCCCACCACAGTACATCACTTGATGTAACCCCCTTGCAGAGGGGTGCCGGAGACATCAGTACTTATGGCGATACCCAGAACAGTGGCAGATGCCTCCCAAAACTGCATTTGTTGAAAATGCATTTGTAGCCAAACAGTTTTGTCTGGCAGGGGATAAGTGAGCCCTCCTGCAAAGCAAAGGCACAGTAAGGAAAGGAGCTGGATGCACACTCAAAGAAAAGGATGCAGGTGCCTGCTGGAGTGATGTCTTCCCAGGATTTACTGGCACAAAGGGGCAGAAGATGGGATTGGAGCTCTGTCCTCTTCTAGCCAGACACAGGTGCTATGAGCCCTACAGCCATCCCCTCTCTTCCTTGTGGCCTCATCAGCTGTGAGTTAATTACAATCCCTTTATGTCATGGAGGAGAAATTCAGTGAAGGGAGAATAGTGTCTCTGTTCTGGTCCGTATGTAGTTCAACCTCTGGGACAACCATGGTCCAACTCTCAATATCTAATTGAGATTGCATAACCAGATACTGCAGGCATGTATTTATATAAAAGCTGTTTTAATCAAAAGACTAGCCATTAAATTGCCAGTGTTTTTAAGCATGCTTCACCAATTTTTCCACTTTTAAGACTCAAGTAGACAATTTTTTTAATGTTTTATAAATGATAAAAAATTCACATCAGATTTTAACAGAATTAAGCATACTTATTCAACACACATGGGGCCTCTGAAAAAATGTTATTCAATTTAATAATTTTAATTTACATTGTATATGTACATGAGCATTTCTTTCAACCCACAGGTTAACACCACAAAAAAAAAAAAAAGAAAAAGAAAGAAGAAAGAAAAAAAGTATTCTGGTTAGCGGAGTGAAGAAACTCTTGAAACACTGTTGTCTGAAATAAAAGCAAGGCACTCTCCCTTAACACCTGATATATTCCTGAATTCTGCCTAGACAAAGGCATGTTCACACTGAGAGAGCTCTAAGAATAGTAGTAGATTTATTCTGCATTAACTCTTTCTTTTACCACTGTGACCTGTCACTGGTTGCACTCTAGGATGAATCAGTGTATTGACGTTGACATGAAGGACAATTCCACAGATGATGGGATTTGGGAGAGTATCACAGCTAAGACTATCTATGGAAGACTGGAGGACACAGACGACGTGAAATTTCACATGGGGCTCCGAACCTGCTACCTCCCACTCACATTCCACTTAATAAATAAACCTTGCTCAACAAAAAAGGAATTTTACTGTACTATGCTGATTTGCCTGAAAATCCTTGGTAAGGGCCCACTCGCAAAAAGCTCCTGCAAGCCCTCATCTGGCTGGTGCTCAGCACCTGGCAGGATTTGTCCCTAGATAAAAGTAGTTTCTCAAGGGACCTTGTGTCTTACACAAGGAGACAAAAGCAAACATACTTTCTTCGGATTTTGTGTCTGTATGTTTTTGTATGCGCACATGTGTGTGAGTGTGTGTATATATATATATGTATATATATATATATAAAGTATATACAAAAGCAAATTCAGTCAAAATATATTTATCTTGCTGGTCAGGCTTGTTACAGCAACCTACAAGAAACATTAGCTTTTCTGATATTTAATTATGCTATTATGTTTGCACATAAGCTTAAAAGTCAATACAAAAAGCAATACTTTTCCAAATATTATCTGCAGGTAAACCAGAAATATTAACTATAGTGATTAGAAGTCTGTTTCCCTATTGACACTACTATAAATCTTGATATAAGAATAATTTTTTCATAAAAGCACATCCAAACATAGTAAGTGATAAAATACCAGATTACTATTTGAAAACCATACAGTGACTCGATATCTGGGTTATCCTTTGCAGCAATTAGGCAATTCATTTGGCATCTGTTTGATTGTATAATTTAATTTCCATATAAACAGCATAGTTTAAAAAAAGACAAAAGCTAGAATGTTTAAAGCTAACAAAAGATACAGTGACATCAGGTTGACATTCAAAATTTTCCTTAGCAAAATGACCAACAAAATTTTGACTTAATACAGTGCATATAAAGTTTTTTAGAACTAAATTTTTAAATATTATTTGAATTTAGCAAAACATGAGCAAGATTTTAATATCAAAGTGCTAAACAGTACTGCCTTAGAAGTCACTGCAAATAAACTGTAAAATAACTCTGCTTGTGATTTGACAGATATTTTATATACAAATGGTTAATAAAAAGACACGCACACACACACGCACACAAATATAGTTATATACATATATATATATACACATTATATATATGTATATAGTTTTCCAACTGGTGTATCTGAGTCAGTGTGAACACCCCATTTAGTTATCATGTGTAACAGGGCTCCCATGAGCTGGCAGTCATTGCAATAAATACAGGCAAAGCCATTACAATATACCATGCATACAAACATTTATACAAATAAAGACACTATGCAACAAATTATCTCATATTAATATGGCATCAACAGTATAAACATACAAAAAGGAGTACGAACACGGAATGTTTAAACGCAGCCCACTATATCCTTCCTAGCACTTACATTCATACTATTTTACAAGACTTGCTTGTTCTTGAAAACGATCTTCTGTCTGTTTACTAACTAGTCACTTATGTTAGAAATCTAAAATGGAACTATCCCTGATGCTGACCCTGTATGCTCCAATCACTACTTACTCGGATTTCCTTAGCTAAGGAACAACTGAGCCACAATTGCTCCCGTGTCTTCCACTTACATTTGTCAATAAGTCACGCTACATGGAATCAAGTTCGGAAAACTCTGTCAGGTAAGTTAGTGCTTGTAATTTTCTCACTTTATTTCTTCCATTTGTTTTCCTAGTAAAATAAATTAGTTAATAAACGAGACTTAGTAAGACAGCACTTTAAAAAATTGCACTTGAACATGGGAGCTAACAGCCATTGTCATTTTGCTATATTTGATTTGTATGAAATGTTTAATTGAATGTACTTTGCTAAAAAAGTGAATTTTTGTTTAGATTGTGCTGATGTATGTGCCCTTGATGCAGGAAGTATGCTAAAGGTATCCTCACAAAACACATACTACCCTGGCAAACAACTATTTGCTGTTCTTGTTTTCAAACACATCTTCTACAATTTTATTCCTCATAGACCATGAGGTGTTAAACAACAGATTTAAAACAGTCATGTTAACCTTTTACTGCTGCTGGGATAGCATTGTCCAAAAGTGCCTTATTAGCTATTTAAAAAATCCAAATCACACAAAAGAAAACAAAGAACACAACCCCAAACCAGTAAGCCAGTAAGTTTCAGGCCTCAGGTTGTAAGGACAAAGCGCCAGAAAAGACCTCATTTTAGACTCGGAGCTGCTTTTCTGTTAAGTGAGGGCAGAAATGTTAGCTGTAAGTCACGATCCATTTGCCTGCTCTGGTGGGCGTTTGCCTTTCAGGAGGGTGGTTTGACTCAGAAGGGTAAGGTGTCCAGAAACAGCCTGTCGACAATGGAAGGGGCTGGCACCAAATCTTCCAGTTTCAGGTAAAAGATGCGCTGCAGTCCCAGCGTGCAGAGAGAACGCAAGTCAGCCAGAACACCCAGTACCTTCTCTGCAGACTCAAGTGGTTGTCCTTTGTTTTGGCAACTGAAAGTTAAGTGATCTTTCAAACTGCTTGTGATCTTGTTGCATAGCTCTTCCACTTTCTTTGGTTCTTTTAATCCATGTCGTTCTGCAAAGTGAGAGAAAAAACCACATCAGCATCCTTAGCACAAATGGAGACAACTCACTTTCTTCAGCATAACCCAGAGCCATACTCTGAAACTCAAAGCAAAAGGTGCTTTGAAAGTGTAAGATTTTTCAGAACAGCTGGAGTTATACAATATCAGTGAACCTTTCTGCCACGCAATATAAGAGACAGCAAGTTCCCTTTTCTCTTTAGCTGCTAAAACAGGCAACAGAGATGCTCAGTTATGATTGCAATTCTAGTACAAGGAATCCAAGCATCCTGCATATCTGACATAATTTTTATGATATGAGACAGAATTAATTGGGTGATTTTCCAGCAAAACTATCACAGGAGGTGTTTTGGAGATTTCCGTGCTTCCCCACCAGTTGTGAACGCTCAATAACTATGGCAACCATTATTTATTCAGTGAATTCAAGTGGCGATCGATATCCTTAGCCAGCTCCATCAGTGCCCAGCCTAGAATTCCACCAGGAATTTGCAGACACTCTTATAAGAAACTAAAGGCACCTTACTACCCTTTGTTATTTTGATCAGCTGCTGCTTTTTAGTTTATTCATCTTTAAAAGCTCTAAGATAAAAGAAGCCTGGAAGTTAACTATTTTGCTTTGAGTGAGCAAAAGTGAATGGCTGCTGTGTCATCCATTGCAAAAAACTCAGCACTTCTAAAATGAAGGGGAGCTGGGCTTTGTCCCCCTTCAAATACCTTTTTAAAATACTTCAATGATGTTAAATGCCTTCTCAGTTCTTTAAGCATAAGTATAATGAATCAGATTTGTGATTCATTAAAAGCAGGCTCTTTACTGGGGAAAGAATTCTGTGTTGTTTCCTATCAAGGTTTAGTTGACATATTGAAATAACAGAACAAAAAAATTCTGAACAAAAATCTCAAATTTGTGATGTTTTGATTTTGCCTTTGACTTTGAAATTCACAGGTAAGAACTGGCTTCACAGCACAATCATAATAATTCACACATGAAATAGAACTGTGCCAGATAGGGTAATCTAAGAAAATGCAGGTTATATTAATTGTAAATCAGTTAGACATATAAAACAATGGCAGCAGTGGATGAGGAGTAATTGTGGCAGTTCTCATGTCTGATGCATTTGAAGTTGTCTCCTTCCCTGGCCCTCTCTCCCATCCCTGGCAGCCACCAGCCACATTGTGCCCATTGTGCCCTAAGTCTTGTTCCTCTATGCCAGGAGGAGCAAGCAATAGGTATGTTCTCTGCCTGTCCCCTAATGAAGAGTGAAAAGAGTACAGTTTTCTTTACTTCTAGAAGCAGGAGTAATGCCTGCACCAGACGTAGTGGTGCCTTGCCCAGGCCTGTGTATATAAACTCCTCGCTGCCTCCCCTCACCACCTGTTTTGGCTAGGTGCTCTTTACAAACCAATAAAACAGACAGGATTCAATGAAGGCAGTCATAATATGTAAAGGTCTGGTTTATTCACCCATTCTACACTTTTTTTCAACTGTACTGTACTTACTTAGGCAGAGTTAGCTTCTGAAAAATACTGGTCTGGGATCAGAATCAGAGATGTACAGACATGTACGTCTCTGCCCAGAAGCTACTGTGCTCTATCATTTAAGTACCATCAATCTGCCCTGTTGTTTCAGAGCAACACTTGTCCAAACAGTGGCATCTGCTTCAGACATCTTTTTCACCTTGCAGGAATTAAAAACCCTAGGTATTCTAAGTGCCTTGTTTACATTAAAACATGAGAAGTCAATGAATATTTAAAGCCTTTCCAGTAAATGGTGTATAGTGTAATTATGTAAGCCTTAACTATACAGGTCACTGAGAGTAAATACTTAGGCAGATTCTGCCATTAAAAATCTTGGCAGATAAATATTTTATACAGGTTGGAAAAGCTGTAGGGCTTTTTTTTTTTTTACCACTAGCCTACTGAGAGAATCTGCAGGACATTAAATTAATCTTGCAGTCTTTGAAGAGTTCCCATCTTTTAATCTGTTTTGTGTCCTAGACGTGTAAGTGAAGATATTTTTATAGATCTAGGGAGCAGAAATACTAGAATGGATCCCGAACCTGACTATGAGTTAGCAGAGCACATTTTTAAACCACTGCCTCAGTAGGTGTGTACCTTGCTGCTGAGTATGGAAAATTGGCTCTGGAGCATGCAGCAACTTTATTAACATTTACAGCCAGAACTAAACAGCCTGTCTTCCACTGACAAGTTCAGAAGGTTTCATAACAAATCATGTCTTTGGTGAATAGCCATGAAATAGACTGATGCAAAACACTATGCATGTAAAGATTATTGTGTTAGTAGCCTTACCTTACATAAAAAAATCATGGGAATTCAGAATTAACAGATACTCTGTCCCTAAGCTGCTCTCCACTGCCATAATATTAAAGCAGCCACCGACAAACGAAACTGTCCTCTCTCCTGCGTGAGTTGCCACACAATGGCTTTTGCTACTTGCAAATCTCTACAAAGGTTAATTTCTCATGACTGGAACTGCCTCAGGGATTTTCAGTTTTCAGTCCCTAAGGCATCCCTTGTGGACCTACAGAAAGCCAAAGCCATCTATGTGGAAGCCTTTCTGCTGCCATTGCAGTCTCTGGTGTTAGCATCCAACTAGTTTCTGAAGAACATACTTATCTAAGAAATAGCTCCTCTCCTTGGTAGACTTGAGGAGTCTTGGTCCTAATTTACTCAAAGATTCAAATTTAATAGGGTTCAAATATCACGCTTGCCTTTTCCACCTTGTCCTGTTTGCACAAAGAAAGACCCACAGTCTTTCTTACACAACCTAGAGGGAGCAGCACCAGGAACCTGTTTTAAATGTGTGCAGTGGCACTGAAGCCGATGGCCTCTAATCATTTGCTGTCATCCACAGGATGTTTTTATCCACATGGGAATGATAAGGCCAAGATTTATCTCCAGAAGGGACAGCTGGTCAAAATGGATAGATTTTCTCTAACTGACTGAGGAGGTGTGTAAATATCGTATTCGGACTTTCTTATAATGACAATTAAAAAGGCACATAGGGAACATAGGATTTCTCAGCCTTGTGTTTTAGAATACCACTGATTTTTGCAAGAAAAACAGTGATTTATGGCAAAAATCCTGTCAAAATGACTCATCAAAAGTTTTGCCTCTAAAGATCTGAAAACTTAGCTCATCCCGGCAAACTGAACACAGCAATTTTTTTACACCTTTCTCCTTTTCCCGGGAAGCTCAATGGGATTCTTTGCTATCATTATGCTGATCAGCAAAAACTTGATAGGAAGAAAGCAAAAAAGCAGGAAAATTTATCACCAGCTGTGCTAATCCCTCTTTCCCTAACTTCTGACACAAGGTAGATCATGGCAGGGTTAGGCAAACTGAGCACTACCTTTATAGGAAATGCCTCTCAAAGAGCGCAAGTACCTCAAAGAGCTTGACTACCTCAAAGACCCCTGGGCTTTGCGCTCTGTGTCAGGGTGGGTCACTTTTAGCCCTAATTTATTCTGAGGTGTCAGTCTGATCAGAAACGCAACTGATTAACTCTGCAGACTTAAGATAGGCCTCTTGACTGTCTCGGTTTCAATGTAGTTACATGATTTTCTCTTCCCCCTTCACAATCCTCTTCCCCTTCTATAACTCAAATAAACACAAGGCTCAGTTGCCTAAAACTTTCTGGTTGTCTCGTGTACACACTGTTACACAGGATGGCAACTCGGTACATCCAAGAGTCTCCTTTCCTGTAGCAATCTGGCCCATATTTATCCTGCCTAACTCTTAGTCACTTCGCAAGGATGCCCAGCCTAGACACACAGACTTCTCAAGCTCCCCCTAATATCAGTGGAAAGATAGGCATTTTCAGATTATTACAATTTTAGGTGGATGAATCATCTTCTGGAGGTGCCCTGTATTCTGCATCAGGTCTGCAAGGTACCTCAAGTCAGAGTGACCACACAGAACACCATAGTTTGCTCCCTCCTTTGAGAAAACCCCAGTGTAACACAGAGACTGCTGGTTGCTGTAGAAAGAAAGAGTTCTTGCCTCAGCAAAAGGTGGGAGTGAAAAAGGAGGAGTGAGTACTTTGACGCTGACAGTATTTCCCTCAGCTAAGTGGCAGGGGGAAGGCAGACAATGCAATCTGGAGGGTTTTTTTTATAACTAGCTCTCCTACACTCCTCCAGTCTGCCACCTGCTATGTAGACCCAGCACATGAAGCACCCACAGCAGAGGATATCCTGGCAAGAGGACCGAGGGATATTTGCTGCTGAGGAGTAGGTAAGCCCCTCTTCCAGAGACAGGTTGGACAAATTCATGTTCAGAAGGAACTGCAGCAGCCACGCTCTTTTTAGCCAGACTGGACTCATTACTATTTCTTGGTATGACTGATGGTGCTAAAAATTGTGTTTGTAAACTGGAACGGAAAGCCCAACAGCAGGAAGACAAACACAAACTCATAATTAATTGAAACCTCACAATATTCTTCAATGGTCTGGTGCCAGTCTAACAAAGCATTAAGAGTGTGAAAAAGCCCAATATATACAGTAGTTCTGGGCTGGTCTGTAACACACTTAAAATAAAACATATGCTGAAAGAGCTTGGCTGAATGAGGGCTAGAATGCTCTGTACTCGGCAGCATCCCACTGAGAGCGTCAAGTGGGCAAAACAATAATAGTTTGATGTGGATAGAGAAAGGAAGGGCCAGAGAGGAAAAGCAAATTGATGAGAGAGAGACACTGAGAAAAAAAATCACTAGCAGTTCTAGAGCAGGCAGAAATTAGAATGTGGCCTTGAGATTATCTGCACTGGACTCTCAGTCTATATTTTCAGACTGTTAGAAAAAACCTGTAAAACAGCATTATAAATGGTGATTTGGAAAGTTAAGGAAGCATTTTCAAGTTCAGGCTGAGCTAATATCTGGTCATCTTCAACACTAACCAGTCCAGCATCGAGTGGTTGTGCAGGAACGCTTGTGATCCATAAACACACTAAACTGATAGAAAACGTCCATGTGGAACTAACGACAGAACTCATCCCAAGATGACCAGAACTTCCTTTTCATGTTGGCACTCTAGCTCATTAGATCCTACCTACCAACAGAATAAGTGATCCAAAGAAAAAGAACATGACAGAACTAATTATTTTACTTTCATGGGGATGTGTGGGTGAGTGTCATGTGTTGTTTCCTAACTACATTCTTCTGGGTGATACTTAGAGTGACACTGATGTGCTCTGGAGGAAGTTGTGTCCAGCCTTTTTTAACTAGCTGAAGGAAGTAAAAAAAGAGAAGAGAGACAAAGAGAGGAAGATACTAGAGGAGTACCTTAAAGTAAAAAGATGTGTTTTGGCACTACAGTGTTTTAAGTTAACTGTTTACAAGACACAATAAACCAGATGTCACTTCTTTCATTCTGGGTGCTCTTTCAAGTTGGTGTCTTATCTGAAAGGACTCAAAAATTCAGCAGCAATCTGACATAACGCTTTTCCTTTTGGGCAATATACTACAAATTTCCAAAAACCAAAAAGTAAATAGAAAAAGCACAAATATATGGACTCTATAATGGATTATATAATGCAAAATAATATGCATTCCTTTAGTTTTACTCAAAGCAAGCAGTGTGGTGAACTAGTGACTCCTGTGATACTCACTAAGTCTCTTGTCATTCTCTTCAAAATCACTAAACAGAACAAATTACCATATATGCCTATAACCATGCATCCTATGCTGTCATCTGCAGCTGTGGTTGAGACAGGACATGGAGCTTTGCAGCTCCAAACAAGTTAGCAGGGTTAATTAAAGGTCCCTGGAACTACTGGGGCTGTTACTGGGGAGACGATTTGACATCCCAAAATGAGAGAACAGCCTTCAGTATATCTTAGGACAGTGGGAACAGTGGAATGTCTTTTAGTCTCCAAAATTGAATTTCAGATTTATTCTCTCTTCCTTCACTGGGAAACAGATGTTAGTTCTCCCTGTCACTCTTGCAGAATAGAGAGAGAATATGCCAAAGAGAGTGGTGACTCCTCTCACTTTTCTCCCTCAGCAAAACTGCCAATAGCTAGTATACAAGAGGGTTTGTTTTCTTTGTTTGGGCTATGGACAGCACTCATGAAATCAAGAAGAACAAACAGGTCATTATTCCCAGAAGCAATTTCTCTTTATCTAGAGAGACAATTCTTGAATTTGATGCCATCTAAGATACCATACAGTATTAAAATAGGGTATAACTATTATAGCTCACAGGGTTATTGTCTGTTCCTTTTTTTGGTTAAACCATCAAGTCATGAACAGTTGTCTAATGCAAAATAAGAACTGGAGCAGTCTATGTAATAATCAAGAAAATTTTGCTCAAGCCAGGATTTTTGTTTTGCCTTGTTGTTACTAAAGGCAAACAGCTAGATTCACAAAACAGAGCTTTCCTCCTCCATCCTATCTTGCAGCCTAATTACATGGATATCCGTATGGAACATGGGAGATCCATGGTCAGATTCCCTTTCTGTTGGAATCAGACCAGAGATTGGGCCTTGGGTGTCCCTCTGAGCACCAGCTTGTCCCCAGATCATCAGGCACAATAGCCACTCTGCAGCCCATGAAACATATCAAGTTGTTTTAAGACAAAAGACAGTGATAGTCAATAGTCAGATATCCCATATTCCTTGAAAAGGTCACTCTCTTGGTCTGACTCACAAAAAGGACTTGAACTAGGGTTTGCTAACTACCTGTTGCCTCCAACAGTTCACAACAGGAGAAAAGAGTACCTTCCCCAGAGCTAAAGAACGGCATCTGAAACACCCATGTAAACCTAAGCCAAACCTCAAAACGATGCTTAAAAATGTTCAACATTTTAGAATTTTTCAAGTTTCAGATTTCCAAATTTTCTCTTTATTATTTTTTCTCTTTTGGTGGGACTAGCTGAAAACCAGTACATGGCTTGTCATACTCAAACTGTAGGGAGGAGGCAAGAAGCCATTTCTCATTCTAGGATGGCACAGCAGAGGCAAACCTCAAGGCTTTCCTGAATAAGAAATTTCAATACACTATTAATGAGAAAGTCTCAAAAGAACCCTGCCCACCAGCACTTTGTGGTGTAGTGTTCTCTTAGCCATAATCACCTGATTTCCTCTTACAGTCTTTTTTTTTAATATTGTTCATCATTATACAATACCATCCATTTTCAGGTGACCAAATTTCTGGCTGAGTCCCTAAGTTAGCTAACTGCCCTTGGACATCTGAAACCTCTGAATATGTCACTAGAGCTTTGGTCTAATTTAGATCACATGAAAGTATATGCTGTCCTTAAGAGCAAATCAGTAGAGATATACCAGCCTCATGAAATAAAAGAATAAGCAGAAAAGTATATTCATTTTAAACACCATCTCATACAGATGAGAAAATCAAGAGAAGATTGACAAACACAGAAAATTCTAAAACTTTTATGTACAGAAACAGTCTCCTTTTAAAGGCAACAGTTGCTTGCATTTGTTTAGAAACTTCGGGAAGACCAGCAAAATATAGCAAACTCCTGGAAGGCTTATGATCAAGGAAAGGAAGATATGTGGGCTGTTACCAATTAAAACCTATTTCTAATTATCTTAGGGTGACCTGAGCCAACCACTGGACAACTTTTGGCAAGCAAGCAGTGTCTAACTGAACAAATTACCATGTTAAAACAGGGCATGATTTTGTAAGGAAAGTTAAGTTTTTGTCCAACACATTTGTTTTTTCTACGTTCACTTGGCTTGCTGGGAATTCTGTTCATCGACCTGCATATTCTCTGTCTCCAGGAAGATAACCAAGAACAAACTACCTATGTCTATCTAAAAAAGACATATCTAATATATAGTAAATGATCTAAATCATTGATGTGTGCTATATATATGTGAGCATATATGCCTGTATGAGCATATGCATGTATGTAAATATATATGGAGAGAGACAGAACCTGTCCTTGATTTAGAGATACCTAAATACATACACATACATAAATACATTATATATGTATATAAGTATGTATACATATATATGTATGTATTTATAATACATATACGTAAATAGGTGTGAACATATGTCAGTGGACGTTTATATACAGGAGTAAAAATATTAATTGGGAATGTTCTTTCTCACTTTAACATACTACTCATTTCAGAAATTTTTTATACAGAGTAAAGCCAACTCCAAAGAGTTATTCTGGTCTTATATGTGTTATCAAAGAAATTAGAATCTGGACCTTAAAGTACCCTTTCCAACTGCAGAAGAAATGAACAGAAATTAATCAAAAAATTGAAAATGAAAATTCTTTAGAATTCTTTAGAAACAAAGAGTTACACACATACACTAACCCTTCACCAAAATGCAGGAAGGAAGCATACTGTGCAAACTCTGAAGCCAAAATCTTGGCCCCACAAATGTCATCAGGAATTGGTCAATTTTAGGTTTTATATTTGTCACTGAGCATTTTATCTCAGCGTTTCCCCAACATTATCTCGTCCTGGGTAAAATGAAGACTGCATCTGGTATTGTTGAGCCCGATGCCTGAAATGCAGAAGGAAATAAATATCTATCCCAGTGGAGCTTATAGTATCCCTGGGAAGATCCAGCTCAGGGCACACTGAAGCCCTGTCTCACAGTGATGACACAGTGGCACCGTTATACTACCAGGTTTTCTGAAATGAGTGTGAGGCTCTGTGTAGAGACAACTGCTGCTCCAGCTTTCACCGTGTGGTTGTCAGACACCCTTACTCCCAGCTACTCCTGCTGCCATCAGCTATGTCTCTTCTACGGCAAGAAGCCCAAGGTATGCAGTATGTACTTCAAGAGGCTTTGTTGTTTCAGGAATGAGAAAATTACACTTTAAAAAGTTATGCTCCCCTGTTTTGTACTTACTGGTCAGATTTGGCAGATTCTGACATTAGCTTCCTGCTGTTCATCCCAGGAGGCAGAAGGGGTGATATGGTCACATGCACACCCAAAAGCTTTAGTACAGCTGCAGAATGTGACTGTTTTCTCACTATTCTCTGATTTTTCTCTCTCAGAAAAGCAGTGTGTGGAATATCTAGGGTATCCTGGCCACCAAAAGGAGCCTGTCTGCCACATGGAGCAGTTTTTCAGGTCTAGCTACCTTGCTGAGGGATGAGCTATACTAGCTGTATGGTTTCTAGCTCTCGAGCTGCCTTGATATTAGTATTCCCACACAGAAGACCTAGCTCTGGGCATTTCATTAGGCTTTTCTGGGAATTCAGCAAATATTCTGAATATTTTTGTACAAGCTACACAATTTGCTTGGAAGCAGTTTGTTTTTTAGAGGCTATTCCCAGAAAACAATGAAACTGAAAAGAAATAGTTAGATTGCATTTTAATAGAGGTGTCTGATAGCCTAATGTTAATCCATATTTTCAGTGTGGTCATTCCAATACTTAAAAATCATACTCACTTTACCCTGAATATAGCTACATTAACTGAAATTGCTTGAATCTCCATTAAAGCAAAGCACTAGAGGTCTGAAGCTTTCTATTAACAAAGGAGCACTTACCTGTAATCATAGTTAGAGCTGATAGACTTGCTAAGGCTGGGATATCAAGGTTAAGGCTCTTTAAGTTTAAGGAAAAGTCTTTAATAGAGTCGAGCCACTCCCCAAATCCACGAAGGCACTGAAGTCTATGAAGCACAAGTCCATTGCAGAATACAAACTTATCCTCAGCAGTATCAGACCTCAAATAAAAACAATTGAAAAAATTATATATGCGTCTTCTACTTTACAGCAAAGTGCATAACCAGTATTGAAGCGTCTGTCATTTAAAATCCAAGGCATATTATCCTGAGACATGTGGGCATTCACGTTTGACAATGTGCTTCTCCCTTGGGGCCAAAGTACAACAAACAAGCTTCTATGATTGCTTACTTCGTAGAGTTATAAGCCTGAGGTTAGCTGTAGCATGTGGTGTAGACTGTCTAATTAGTTAAGATTTTGGTCCTGCCCAAAGGCATAAACAGAGAAGACATTTTACATTAAATACTGTATGTTTGAACCAAAGGAATACTAAGTGAATGCATTTTGAAATACAAAACTAATAAAAAGAGAGATTCTGCAACTCTCAGCATTTACGTAGTATCATCATTTTTTCAGGTTGCAAAAATTGATAAGGAAAAAACAATGGAAAATGCATGCAATAATGCACCACAATACACATAACAGCTTAAACTCTTCTATATGAAAACCTGAGTGTAAGAGAGAAATTACAGCCAAGCTCTCCTCTCCTTCCCCTCCCCATTGCCAATATCCCCGTTAAAGAACAAATGCAAAGGTCATTTTCAACCTAAAGAAACAAGGGCATAATTCAAATCACCAGTCTGCAATTTTGCCAGTCCCCGAGAGTGTTTTTGAGCAAAGTGTCTTAACTAGTGCTAGACTGACAAATAGCTTCTTGCTCTACTAAATGACTTGGCATTAAGAATTAAAACAATCTGAACAAGATTTTAAATCATCTTCAACCCTTTCAAAAGGGACAAAGATGTGCATGTGTAAAAGAATGGGGAAAAGAAAAAAGCTTTCACACTGAAGGTGCTTTTCTATAGTTCATGCTTATGAGTATGAAGCAGACTTGCTCAAATAGTATTTGAGGATCAATTTTGATTACTATGTAAAAAGAATATGGGGGAGGTCAAATAAAAAGAAGCACATTAGTGAGACCTATGCTTTCTTTTTAAATCATCCTCTTGTTTTTTTTTCTGCAGTGTAAAACAATTTAAACACACTTTGGAGGCAACATTGCTGATTTTTTTGTGCTTTTTTGGTACAATTGACCATGTTCAAAGATAGTGCCGTATTTATTCCTTAAAAATATTTAGATGGATGATTTTTCACATCATCTTAAGAGGAAATGAAATAAATAGTTACCTGATGGAGAGTCTTAGTACAAACAGCTCCAAAAAAGCTGATTCTATGAGTAATGTCTGATCTTCTTTTGGGAGGTCAGTAAATCCTGGGATTTTTTCTGCCCAGCCTCTAGTTATGTCAATGGAGGCAGTCAGAAGATTATAGAATTGTTGTACATGTTCTGCATCTGTGCCTGCAGCAGCCTGATCAGTGGAACAGTACTAAAATGAAAGCCACAGAAAGCAACGTTATATGCATTTAAGGGCATTCTGTGAAACATACAGCATTATTTGCCCGACAACATTTCCTTCTGTGGCAAAGCTGGTATTATTAACAAAGACATAAAAAGTAGGTCTACATCTATCTACTTATTTGGCTACCTTCAGGCATTTTGCTATTCAAATATATATTGCAAAAATATTTCCATGTGTATAGAAGTATTTTCAAATTTATAACTAAAATATAGCATCATGTTTTAAAAGTACCTACATGCTATTAGTAAACAGAAATAAAAACCTGGTGGGTAGGATAATTTGCATCACAGTAGAACAGGAATACTATTTGGCTTACTACAAGTAAACAGTTTTCCCATTGATGAATTTGTCTCAGCATGTCAAAAATGCAGATTTCTTCCAAAACCTCTCACAGTGCATTTTATCTGACAGTGATAGAGACACATAGGATAAATCATGTTTTATCTGACACATGCAGCATTGCTTCATTTGAATACAGAATTGGTTCAAAGTAAACCAGCTGCCCCATATCACCTCTTTTCCTTCAAATTGAAGCATTTGAGGTTCAGCAGAACCTATTATCCTGCTTATGTGGCCATAACTCTTCCAGGCTACCATTTGACAGTCTCAGCTTGTTCAACTTCCCTGTGACCCTCTGACAGTTCCCTCCCCACTATCTCCTACTTCGTCACCAGTGGATCCCTGTCACCCCTGTGACACTGCTCTCCTCTCTCTTGGCAGAAAATACAATGGGAGCTTCTGTGGCTTAGTCTGATTCTGTGCTTGGAAAGCACTGCTGGTTTTCTGAGCAGGTGCTGAATAGTGTGGCATTTATTCTAACAACATCCTCACCATCAGACATCTGGTGGGTTATTTCTGGGAGAGACTTCATACCCACTCTCTCACAGGGACTCAGCCAAAGAAAGGTGAGGGTAGTCTCCATGGCTAAAAGTGTGCACACCCTTTGGAAACAACTTCCCATACGCAATTAGGTCTTGAATCCATCAGCCTTAAGGTCACTCTAGCAACTCCCCAAGCCAGAGTAGAAGCAGAAAGATGCACAACCCTTTCCCAATCAGTAACAGTGGGCTGGCAGCCTGGGAGGACAGTATTATAGCCATGCCACTTGGGCTGCAGATATCACTCAAGTAGCTAACTGCAACCCAAAAGTCACCTCTGTGCAGGACAGAGAGCGAGGGGCAGCAAGCACAACGTCTTGGGTAGCTGTCCTGTTCTCTGCCTCTCCAAGCTGGAGCTGGTTGCTGTTGGCAGGTGAGGGATGAAGGACACAGTGTCAGAGTTGCTGACTGATGGGAGAACCACAGCAATCCTAGAGACCTCTCACCATATCTGGGGCACCAGTACAAGTCCTTAATGACTCTGTTTTGCTTACCCAGCACTAATAGCACGAGTTTCTCATGGTAAGCTCCAGCTCACATGCCTAGTCAGCTAGTGAAATATGTGCAATCCTTCTTCTAAAGTACATGTAGAGATAAATTCTGCCCCAGCTACTCCAAAGGATTCTGTGACAGTGAGGCAGGTAGAGGGCACAATACAGAGAATATGGGGAGCAGTGGTAGAAAAATCTGTATGCTGCATCTTTTATGTGTTCAGCGCCCCACCTGATTGGAGTATTTGAGGGTGCTCAAGCAGCATGAACCAGCTACTCCTGGCACTGGACTGCAGCAAGATGCACTGAGATAATTAATGGGTAGAAAAAGATAATTTGATTTTTCAGAGACTATGCGTGTTCTGGGCCCTCTTAAAGTGAAGCTGCAGAGCAAGCCTCGACGGTGTTCATTTTGACTCTGAGAGATACACTTTGCTATGTAGGACTGACCTATGACTCCTTTCTACACAGGGAAACCAAACAGGCTAATGGAAACTCCTGCCTCACCATGGGTACTGCTAAGGCAACACACATTCTTGATCCTTTGAGCAGTAAAGAGGAAGGAAAAGGAAAGGAAAAAGTACTGCCCATTGTGAATGGGTTCATTCTAAATATAACTCATCACAACTCAGCATAATTATGCCAGGTGTTAATTTGTTCCCAATATTTATAAAACATTCCTTTAGCAAAAGTAAGGCAAAGTTTTAACATTTTCTAGTGAAGCTGAATGCTGCATTATGTCACTTAACTGTGAATGCTACAGTATGGTATGCCCCATATAGGGCTATGAATTAAATGAAATTCATCTAAAAAATTATAACCTGTATTTGTTATTATAGTCTAGCCCATGAGAGCTATTTTAGAAGAAAGGTAAAAAATAATATGGAATTGTATAATTTTTAGCTGCTGCAATATGTCACCACTCACTACAAAGAGTTAGCACTTACAAAGAATAGTTAAAATAAAATATTATTTACTTGTAACAGGCTTATGAGGATATAAGTAACCATGAACAATATGCATGGTTCAGTTTTATGCACCAAAATCTGTGGGTTTTTTGCATGATTATTCCACTGAGAAGAGGTGATATTTTACCTAACTTGTGACCAAGACAGCTGCTAAGCCTGCCCTTGATCAGGAGGCCACAGTACGGAAGGGCTGCTATCTGCATTTCTAAACCTGCCCTGTGCAAATTGGAGGCAAACCGGGAGAAAGCCAGATGACAAAGCTCTGCCTCACTCCCTTCCTCAAAGCTCTCTGGGAATTAAATGAAATCCGACTGTTTCTTAAGGAGGGGGTTGCATGTGTAGCAAGCAACATTAACTTGTATGTTATATCTAAAGAAATTCGAAAAGCCCAATGTTGGGAAGCCCGGTAGCACAACCTAGCTCTACCCGTTGCCTGCTTTCATCAGTCCTTCATTGATGGCTACAGCTGCAAAAGCCTAACAATAACTTCTCTGCACAGAGAAGAAGCTCTGCTCATTTTTCCAAAAGCCAAGATATGCGCTTAATTTTGTGGCTGGGGAAGGGGGGATTATTGCCTGAACACTGCACCCCTCCTCTGAAAAGGCAACATTTCTACTTAAGCTGGTGTCTATTCTCCATGAATAAGGACGGCAAAATATAGGGTCAGTTTCTCATCTCACTTACTTAGAAGTGTGAACTCAGGGAATTGTACTAGTAAACAGGTGTGAGACCGGACTACGGCCCTTGGCAATTGCCTTTTGAAACCAAGTACCTAAATATACTACTGCTCTGGACTGGTAAGTTAAAACCAGTGCTGAGATGAAAAGCAGCCATGTTCTGAACAGAATTGCTTCCAATATGTTTTGGTGAAATTTTGTAGCTTATGTAATTTAGTTTTTGGGTTGGGTTTTTTTTTGGTTTTTCATGTGTGTCTGTGTCTGTGTGGGGGGGTTTTTTGGGAGGGAAGGGATAGACATTTCTCTCCAAAACATTTATCAATATTTTTAAGACAGTCAACACACTACAGCTTGTAAACATGAAGACCATGCTAAACATTAAGGTCATATCTGCAGAAGTGTCAGGACTGATTCCAAAGCCAGGTTTCCAGATCTGCCCATTTGCAGCGCTCAGCAGGGTCACAGCCTAACTGAACATGCCATAAGTTAGTCTTTACAGGTACACAATTACTCTTCAAAGGAAGTTTTTAGCATTGCAGTGTGTTTATGGCATGTCTTATTTAATTAATCTTGTTTTTTACACAGCATTTGTTAAGATTTCCCCTAACTTTTCAAAATAAGTATAAGGGTTTATGAAAAATGTAAGAATTCATTAATTTCTTGTAGAATATTTTGGTGTTTTCAGTATCACTGGGCATAACAGACTATTATATATTTTATTGTAAAGAAAAACTTAGATATTAATATGTTCTAACAGACAATCATACTTAATCTTTTAGCTACCAAGACTAAATTAATATACTGTCAATCATATGCTTCCTGTAATGTCCAACAGAATTGTTCAACAATTAAATCTATGGGCTGTTTTCATTAAAAGAGAAATAATTACTGCAGGATAAAGAAAAAAGTCACATAGAAATACATAGTTTTCAGTTTTTTGTAAATGCAAAAGAACTTTATATCAATAACTAAATAAAACTCTAAGGTTAGATACTGCTTTCATGGCTTGGGCTAATATATGTCTGCAATTCTGTGGAACCCAGCAGATTTCTGTCAAAGAGCACAGCTTGTCACACACCTTAGTATTAGCAGAATGACCCCCGAGACATTCTGGGTCAGTTAAGGTACATGGAAATGTGGCTAATGCATTCTACCCCTAGAAGGCTCTCAGATGTTGAACAGCTAGATTCTTAATAATAACTTGGAAAATTATATGATTTAATACTTACATATTAGCTTGAAGGAAATATATTACAGCATGCTTAAAATTACTAAATTATATATTTAAGTATAGTCTAAATTAGAATAATGCAATTTTTATATAATTGCAATCAAATATGTTTTAGGATTAAATATTACTTAGCAACAAGTGATAAATGGCCAATGTATATATTGTCTGAGTATAGCTGCTATTTTTTACAGTCTCAGATGTAATCATATTTCATTAAGGGGGAAGAATTTTATCTTATTTTTCCTTAGCTCTGTTTTTTTATTTTCTTATGTCAATGTACCTAAAAAATGTATTTAACAAGCCATTTCAATGCCCTGTATTTTAATAACCATAGAATATTTTTATCAGCTTTCAAAATATTCCATGAATATTTAAATGGTGACTATGATACATTAAAGAACAAGGGTAAATAAATATATAAACTCTGGTAAAGCTTTGCTGAGATACTTTTTCAGAATTTTGATTTTAAAAGGTATTTTTTTAAAAATGTGAATTTAACTGAAGAAATATTCATGCTGGGGTATCCAAAGCCAATCCTGGTCCCATTTAAATAATAGAAAAATTCATTTTGATTTCAGTAGAAATGGTCTTATCCATCCAGATCCTATCCACTGCGCAGCCCTTATATCTGAATATTAGGGAAATACTATTAAATTTTAGGCTTCAGAACCTGGAAGTTAGGGTATTGGACATATGAGTACTGCTCCTGAGTTTGGTAGGTTAATCAATCTCATTGCTAGTGTTTTGGCACAGGCTTTTTGCAACAAGAATGCTCTATTTATCCACGTATTTTTGCTTTCACTCACCCATCGAATATACTGCAGATGATTTTGTGATTGAGATCCTCACAGTGAACAGTTACTAACACTAATTTCTACTGCACTTCCTTTCCTCTCATTGTCCACCTGTCACAAAAAGACAATGACTGGCTGGACCAATTTCTACCCTCATCCAAATGTCACACTTAAGTTAATTTTAGCAGAAACAGCCGGCAAGTAGAAATACAGTTGACAAATCGTTTCTAAGTGGAAAGCAAACAGTGAAGGAAAAGTGAGACATACTCTTGAATAGTCAAGCTCCCTGGGCGTGGAGTCGGTTAAAGCTCGTACGAGGGCATTCATCATGCTGATGGGAGGAGAAGGTGGGGAGGGCTGGGAGGGTTCTTGCTGTAAGGGGCTCTTTGGTTTGGAAGGCAGCCGACCTCTTCTCCCTTTCAGGCTGTCGGTACGGACAACTAGAGGGAGAAAAACCCAAGGGAATCAGTTGCGAAAATACCAGCAAACAATGGATCAGAATGAACACCCTGCTTTTTTTATGGTAGCCAGCACAGCAAAAATAAGGGTGTTCTCCAGTTTCAGCACATGCTCTTGATGCCTTCAATTGCAAAGGAACACAAATGACACCAAAACTGTGTCAGACCTATGACCATAAGCAGCAATGTAGCTGCTTACTGAAAGCCCAGCTGTGTTCCTGGTGTCCGTGCTTTGCTTGCAGCACGTCTGTGTGCCCGTATATATGTGCCCATGACATTCCACTGCTGAAAGAAACCTGAATGTGAAACATGAATTTTAGTGTTCCTACTACCAGTGTCCTTTTTAAATGGCAGAGTTGTTCATTCAAAGTAATTTTAGTTTTCTTGAAGCATTTGAATACAGTCATGCTATACAGCTTATATTATCCATGTTAGTATTTGCAATGGGACTGCTCACACAATATTACTCACATACTTAAATATTTGCAGAATTTGGACTAATGAGTTGATCCTGTTTCCATTTAAATTAATTGCAAATTTACAATCAGCTTATGGGAATGAAACAAGATCCTATGTCAAAATGCACACAATCCAGTGCAGCCCCCGGTGAGATAACAGGGGGAAGCCAACAGCATTATCGAGCAGCATTCAAAGTTAATAAAGGAGACATTTTGGCCAGTGTCAAATTATCCTCTTGTGACCTTGCTGTTCTTGAACTCTGGGGTCTATAGTCTAAATATGATAATAAGAGTGAAAACCAGAAAATCAATATATTATTATATATAGGCATATTTGGGGTAAGTTATGAATCCCAGCACTGTTGAATTCATTGTAAAGACATCCATGTTGACATGCGTGCACACACACACACACACACAGACACACACAGATTCATTAAACATAATATTTCAGTTTCTGGGATGATACTAGCCATAGTCCTTACCTTCTTTAACCATGCCGACACTGAGACACTTCTGAAACCGGCAGTATTGGCATCTGTTACGACGTCTCTTGTCCACTGGACAGTTTTTATTTGCCAGACAAACATATTTTGCATTTTTCTGAACTGTTCTCTGTGAAAATGCAACACAAATATAGTAAACTGATTGTTTCTTGAGCAACTTAGAACCTGACAAAATGTGTTTTAATTACAACATGAAAAGTGACAGTGCAATTCATATAATTAGATAAAATTAATTTCCTAACACACTAGCCTGCAGGAAAAACAATTTTATTAGTGTTAGCTGCTGACAATGAAAATCATCTAGGATTGTTCTGAAGCAAGTCTCTGGAGACAGGCAACTTTGAATGATAAAATCATATCTGAAATTACCAGGTCATCACATCTACCTTTGGGGATTAGATTATCTCCGCTTTTAATATCCCTTTGGGAACAATTTTCTACTTGGTTCATTCCCTTGATTATTGCTGACCTTATTAAAATAAAATCAAAATGATCTGCAATGTACTTCTCTTGCTATCACTATTGTTAGTCAAATACCACAATAACTGGTTTGGTTAGCCATTAAAATCATCAGGGAGAAAAATAAAAATACCAGAAACCCCTACAAAATATGTTTAGCTAAATATTCTGGGAAAGCTAACCTGACGTGGGGGAAAAAAAACAAACAGAATTATAGCATAGTTATGTACATTTAATTAACTCTAAAATGATCTTGAAAAATATAGAATAAATTTAAAATATGTAAAAACCTGGTAAGCTTTGGAAGAATATAACAAATGTTGATGCAAAAATGTATTGTGTTTCCATACTTAAAATCAGATATATCAATAAATAACATCAAAAAAGACATTAACAAGAAAGACAACAGAAACAAATTTATCAACTCAACATTCACTATTAAATTTTCATTCAATATTAAATTAATGCATAAGGCATAAATTTCATAATTTGTGTTCATTATCAAATAACAGTCCCAATGTACTAAATATAAGAGACCCAGCAAATACTGTTCATTGTGATTTGGAGCTGAAAACAGTTTAATTTTGCAGAATTAAGCTCTAGATACTGTTACAAATCAAGGATATGCTGTTAATTTCCACAGTGGCAGGTTTGGGCTCATAAGAGCTGCTGTTTCCAGGTTATTTGTGTTCCCTCTTCTAGTTGTATTTAAATAACAAATCAGTTTTATAGGAGATGTGTATGTTACCATGTTGTCAAAGGATTATTATTAAGTAACATGGCCAGCTCCACCTACAATAATAAAACAAATATTGTAAACCCTCCCCACAAATATTTTGGGACTGTTTTTTTTCCCGTTGTATCTTTTACCACAACAGGGGCATGACTGATATTTTAGCAGGAAGGAATATACCAAATCAAACCCAAACGTATCAAATCTTACACCTGCTGCCCAGAACCATTCTACCAAAAGTCTATCCCAAGCTCTTCACTTAAGCCATTTTTTGAAATAATAGTGGAATCTGAGCTCAGACTGCTGAATGGAAATTACAAAGCACCCAAATCTAGGAGCGAAAGAGTGTATTCAACTCCTAAAAATGAAGCACAAAGTTTCCACTGAGAAACTGCTGTGTGTAAGTTATTCGTGTTGCTATTCAGCTGCAAAGCTGCCTTCGTTGCAGAGCAGGTACCAGGACTCTGTGTGGTGCTTAGTCACTGCTCTGCAATCAGCTTTCCACTGGTGAGGGCTCACTGAGCTCCTGAACTGAAGGGTAACAACGAGGCAGCAACCAAATACAACTAGAAGTGCTTGGGTTCGTCCCATGTGTGAAACCAGTTTCTTCCTGGTGCTGACCCACCCTGCAGCCCTCCTCACCCCAACTGCCCCAGGGTAACAAACGGCACCGCTGCCATCACCTAAAACATCCGGTGGACTCTACGCTTTCAGGGTTTCTTTTCTTACTGAAAAACAATGTTTAATTGGACTAGGTGAGTGAGCAAAACCCAGGTTGAATGTACTCCAGGTAGTTTCATTACAGAATAAAAGCAGTTTATAGCTCAGACAGGGGTGACCCATGCTCTGTTGAAGGATGCTGGCAGACCAGAGATATGGTTTGCCCAGCTCACTGCCATGTCCTTTTTTCAGCCAAAACTGGCTGATCCTTTTATCCTACAGAAGGCTTGCTTTGGCCTTTTTCAAAAACTTTGGGTGGGTGACCATTCCACCCTGCTGGGGGGCCTGAGTTTTAACACACAATGCCCCTGAACCCCCGGGTCAGGACCAGGAGCATGCAGGGGCAGGTGGGGAGGGAAGTGAGTTGGGGGGAAGTGGGAGGGGAGCGAACTGAAGAGCTCTCACCTTGAAAAAGCCCTTGCAGCCCTCGCATGTCCGCACCCCGTAGTGCTGGCAGGCGGCATTATCTCCACAGACAGCGCAGGTGCCTTCCCCAGACGAAGAGCTCCTGCTGGGTGGAGACGGGAGGCCACTGCTGCCACTTCCGCTGCTCTCACCCATCAGGCTGGAGGTGGCTGCGTTGAGGCCAAGCGGTGAGAAGGCTAAGGAGGCTGGTCTTTTGGCCAGGTGGAGCCCGTAGGAATGGCCCTCCAGGGGAGCCTGGCTGGCGGTGGGTCTGTCGGAGCCCAGGGGCAGGCTCAGGGAGGCAGGGTCATAGCACATGTGGGCGGCCGCGGACGGAGTGTGCGGAGGCGAGTGCTTGAAGTGGAACAGAGGGAAGCGTGGAGGCACGGTCTTCATGGGAGTGGCATCCATCAGGTGGCCAGGAGGCAGGCAGGTCTGCGTGGGCTGCAGCGGAGGTTCGTCCCACAGGCTCTGGTGAGCAGGGAAGCCGGGTGTAGTGGGAGTGGAGGGTGGAGATTGCTTGAAGTACATGGAAGTGCTGGGCATCCCCTCATCTGTGGATGGGGGTAGTGAGGGCTGGTATGGGGACAGCCGGGTGTCTTCCATCTTTATGAGGGGCCTCTGGCCAGAGGAGGCAGATTGCATTTGGTAGAGGCAGGAAGGCTTGAGCTCATAGCTGCCAGAATAACCCTCCATAAAGGTGCTGAAGCTGGGAAGGGAGGTGGTGGCAGTGGCAGTGATTTCAGTACTGCTCAGGTCCATGGTCAGCTTGGTATAGTCAGGGTTCATGATGTCTGAGCTGTACTCTGAGCCATACGCGTAGGTCTGAGATGCATAATTTGAACCGGGTGGTGAAGGACTATACTGCGCTTGCACACAGGGCATATCTGCAAGGGCAAAGGGGGACGTTAACAACAAGCCAAGTGCACCAAAGCCATGGCCTGGGCCCTCACAAACTTCTTTCCTAGAAGTTCTCCCACAACTCAGAGCTCAGTTAAGATATCCAGCTCCCATTCTCACCTGGACAGAGGGCATTTAAATTAGCCTCGAGCCTTTATATTTCAACAAGAAGTATGCATCAGGGATCGACTAAGCTTTAGGTATTAGGGAGCCTGCTCTCATCCAGTCACAGGAGAAACTCAATTTTATACCACTCTCAGTGAGAGAAGAATCCATCTCAAGCTGCCCTACATCTGCTGCTTAATATACATAGGTGTCAATGAGAATTAGATAAGCAGAATGAAGAGTTTATGACTCTAAATCTATCTCAGTATGTATGCAATCATGCTGTAAAATTTTCATGAAGGGTAAACAAGATTATCAAATGCATAATATTAAAAATTATATTTATTTTAAAAGAAGAAGCATCTGTAGTGCATATCAGAGGAATTACTCAAATCACAGGGTTTGCTACTCCCGACTTGCAAGGATCAATTTTGATTATTCAACTGTGGGCCTTTGAAGAATATTTCTGATCAGTTAATAATTGAAGGTTGCTGTCTAATTAGTAGTTTTAAGGCTTATCTGTAGTCGAATGTTCTCCTTAAAAAAGTGGGAGGTACAACGTATCCTTAAATTGGCAAAAATGTAAGATAAAAAGTATGCGGTATTTCTGTTTTTATGGGAAAGCAAAGTTGAGGCCACTAATAGAGTTGTTTTTATCCATTAGTCATAAAAGTTAATGCGGTTCACTGATAGCTGGGATGGTTGAAGCAGCACAGTGCCTGGCTATAAAGATCTGATTGTTTTTTTCTTTCACATTTCCTACTGGTCTGCTATTTCATTTGCTGGTCACAGGAAATAATGGACCCAGTTCTGTAATTCATTGAGGTTTGCCTGACTAAACACTGTGAGATTCAATATTTTCAACCCAAATTAAAAGTGTGTTGTGTATTTTGGTTCCAAAGCAGAGGAATAAAATGCGTCAATTAGTATAAATTTTCTCACAAAGAGAAAAGTAAATATGGATAAAATGTATATCAAAATTAAGTGCAGTTCATCTCTTCTTAATCATGGTAATTTATATTGCAAAAGTACTTGAGAAGTAATTCATGGTAAAAAAAACCAACAAACCTGCCTTGAAAATAATGAGGTTTTCCTCATTATTTTAAGAACTCCTTTCACTTACAATTTTAAAATATTCACTTGAGTCTGGCATGCAGGAATCCAAGTAATTTGTGTTAAATCAACTTTTAATTCTTTCCTGCCCGCTTTGCAGATAAACATATTTAAACTAAGCACCAGATTTCAATTATCATGCTGTCACAAACCATTTAGATCTTTCTTCTTCTCAAGAAAACATTAAAAACTGAGAAAAAAAATGTTACTGTTTCCTGAATTAAGACCTTCCTGCTCATAAATCCAAAAGCTTGAAGAAAAAGCCAGACGACCCTTTCCCAAGCCTTGCCTCCCAATGTTATTTATATATTATTCTACCGTTCTCTTTCTTTCCCTATCAATTTATGTCCATGCCATTCCACGCACACACATTTCCTGGCAAGTTCTATCACTATCATTTGTTAGTTTAAGGACCGTCTGTTAAAACATAGTGATCAGTGCCTAATCAAATAAAAAGGGAAATAAATTCTTTCCACACCCCTCCACTAAAAACTGACTGAGGAACACAACTGAGTGAGTGGACAGATAATGTGACAAGTGGACATGTGGATTCACGGCTTTATGAAGGAATAAGGTTTTTTTGCTAGCTCACAAAGTGAGTAGTAGTTCAGGGAAACAGATCATTATGCTTTTTTCCCCTGCATTTTTCTGAGCATAACAGGGTTATGTCACTGAATTCTGTGCAAAGTGGAGTGAAAAAACAGAAGTCTAAAATAAGTCTGATCTGAGGACTGAAAAAATATTCCTAACCTAAAGGTCTAGTCTCTCCTGGCTCTGTGGGACTCCTCCTACCTCGCTCTTTGCCAGCGCACTTGACTAATTCTAGCCCCTACTTTTCCACTTAGGGCAGCAGTATTAATTCCCCTGCAAAGCAAATAACCTGGGATTTTTTTCTTCTTTATCCAACAATATTAAAAAAAAAGAGAAAAAAAGCCCCACGAGAGGTGCACTGAACCGCAACCTGTCATCAAAGCCCAAATGAATGGGTAAAAGAATCGGGATGAGACACTGGGAGCTATTAACATGCTATTCTGCTATCTTTGCGAGAACTTGAGGTAAGGGGTGCCCAGTTTAACGCCAGGCAAGCTGGGCTCCTCAAAAGGACACTAGCACTCCCACCCATCTTCCCCTTAAATCTGACACGTCTTTGACGGGGGGCTCGCAACCCCCGCGTGCCCAGGCACGGCATCGCCAAAAGCGCTGTGCCAAAAGGCAGGCTCTTCATCCTGTTAGGATTTAAACGCCCCGCGACGTCGGGGTCCTATGATGCCAGAGGGACTTGGGAAGGGTAGGGGCCGCGGCAGGAGCTCTCGCAACCCCTCCCTCCTCCCCATCCTCCCTCTCCTTCCCCGAGGCGGCAGCTTACCTGGCGGGTATCTTGCGCGCTGAATGGTGGGGCTGGAGGTGCGGACGGAGGCGGCGGCGGGCGGCGGCGGCGGCGGCGGCGGGGTGGGTGCCGGCTGGGACCTCTCTGCGGGGGCGGGCCCGGGGCCTGGCCTGGGCGGGGGGCGCTCTTCCGACCCGGGCTCTGTCCGCCGGCGGCGGGGAGACAAGGCACAGTCAGGGGGTGGCGGAGCCCAGCGGGTTAGAGGGGCTCCCCCCCGCCTCCCTCCCCGGCGCGGCGCCCCGGGGGGACATGGGGGGACCTTCCCCCGCGCTCGCACGGCAACCTCCCGCCTCGCCCCGCGAGTGGGAAGGGGAAGCCGGACGGGGAGCGCGTTTCTGCCGTCTCCCGCTCCCTCATCACACAAAAGGCAGAGAGCACCGGGCTGGGACAACGGAGTCGACAGTTTGTTCTCCGAGCGAGGAGCCTGGGGAAGGCAAGAGGACAGCCTGGGGCGGGATGTCTACAACAAGCGGGGCATTATCCCCGAGCGTCCACTTTCCCGCGAGAACTTTCTCTTGTTGGGGGGCAGGGACCGGGTGTGGAAGCAGGCTGGAAGTTTCTATTCAAGGTACCGGCCAGACGTGGTTATCCTGACATCCCGGCTAGTCCGCGGAGTCTCCGGGCTCCGCTCCTCCATCGCGGGCGCGGGGGCGGGAGCGCAGCCCCGCCGCCTCCCCCCGACCCTCTGGATCCTGCGAGCTCGGCCGGGGCTCCGCGGCAGCACGGGAGATGCGCGGCCGCGCCGGCCTCTGCCTACGGGAGCCGCTCCCCGGCGACTCTTTCTCCTTGTCTTTCTCTTGCCTTCCCCGCGCCCCTGGCCTTTGAACCCCCGCCAGCTCCCGGGATGTTAAGTGCCTGTCAGCTCATCCCTTTTTCTCCCGAGGGTTTTGTTCCCTCCCGAGCTCCTGCGAGGCAGCTTCCCGCTCGGCGCGGAGCGCCCTAGGGCTCCTCTGCCCCCCCTGAGCCGCCGGTTACCTAGAGACACTCGCTGCGCTTTTAACCACGCAGCACCCCTCCGGGCTGCCGCCGCTCGAGCCAGGAGCGCAGGGCCGTAAGGGCTGTAAATTAGGAGGAAATAACTACCCTTGTCAAAGCTCTTTTCTTCCTCCATGCACTTTACATTCAGCCCCGAGTGACACCCCTCCCCACCCTGTAATACGAGGAGGAAACCGTGAAATACTCCATTGTGATTGTGACTTCTTCAGGCGAGTTTCGAAACCTTCATTTACCCGAGAGGGACTGCGGAGGGGGAAGCTCCATTCAATTAAAAAGTTTCGAGCTCGATTTCCACCGCCGGTTAGTTGGCGATTTTTTTTTTTTTTGGAGGGGGGAGGGATCGCCCCAAGCCGCACGGTCACTCCAGCAAATATCCACGAGATCGGGTGAGATTCACCTCCGAAGAAACCGTCTGGTCTGGCTTAGTCCATTGTTTTTTATCGGGGTTTGACTCCAGCATACAACGGTCTCCACGGAGGAGAGAAAAATAGGACGAAGAATGTAATCGAGTGAAGCGGCTTGGATAAAAGTTAGCGATTCATTCCCAAACTTTTTTTTGCTGGAGAAAAAAATCCTATCCCAACACACCAACCTCCCTACATAAAACAGCGTTTTCCGCCCTTTCTCTGGGAAATATCCTTGCACGGAATCCATCGTATCCAAAAATTGCGAGTTAAGTAACAGCGTTTTTAACTAGCCGCGCTAAGGTGAGCCGCATCTCCGCCCGGGACAGAGTATCGCGATAATGCTGCCCTGATAACCGTCCCCCGACAACCCAGCGCCCGCGCTTTGTCGCCTCTTTCCAAGACTGAAACTTCTTTCGCAGCTATTAAGGCGAGAAGGCAAAGGCGAGAGGCGCCGCTGGGGCAGGGAGCGGGGCAGCGGCGGCGAAGCCCAGCCTCCCCGCACGGTACCGCCCGTGCTGGAGCACCGCGGCCCCTCGTTACCGCTCCTGACCTCCGAAGGGAAAAATGTACATTTCCTAGGAACAGATGCCCGGCAGACGTGCCGAGCAAACATCCCAACTCATTTCAATAAAATATGTCACATTCCAGCAATTACCTCTTGGGCGAGCTCTTCGGGCTGCCGAGGGGGGCTGCTGACTCCCAAAGTGAGATATGCTCAACCTGCCCCGCCGTCCCCATTAGACGGCTGAACTTGTGCAAACAGAACCACCTATTTCCCAAGCGCGGCTAAAGGAAGGAGACAAATTGCTGCTATTCATCACCGGCGCTGTAAACTCCCCGCCGCCGCCGGCAGCATCATTTCCATGACAACAACTAGCAGAAATACCTTAGTACCACCGGCTCCGGCTCCCGCTCCTCTCAACCACAGCCCTCCCGTTTGCGAGGGGCAGCGGTGCCCCGGGCACGACGGGAGTTGCCGAGCCGGCAGGGAGTCTCGGAAGTCGAGCGACAAATGAGCATCCACGGGGAGGATGGGGGAGGTGGGGGGGAAGGTGAGGAAAAAGTTTCAGCGAGAGCCCGGCACGGCAGCGAGTCGGCTTGAGCCGCATCGCCCGCCGCCGGCATCTCCCCAGCATCTATCTACCCCGGCGGCACAACTTTCACGGAGTGGGGACACGCCGCGTTGTCCCTCTCCCGTAGCCGCTCCCGCTCACTCGCATACGTACTCGGTTGCTGTGGAGGTTCCGTCTTTACATCTAGTTTGTAGGTGCCCGCTTCCTTAAAGGCGCGTGTAGGCGCTGTCCAGCGGCAGGACCCGAGACACAAAATCCCTCAGACTCCCGGTAGCTGCAGGTCCGGAGGGTGCGTTATCCCGAGGCATGGAAAAGGATTGCAAAAGCCTGAGGAGCCAGGAGCCCGTCCCCGGGCGGAGGGAGAGAGTGAACAGGCGGGCGGGCGAGGGATGCCGAGCGGCCGATGCCGCCGCCGCCGCGATGTGCCTTTGTGTGTGTGTGCGGCGGGAGCCGGGCCGGGACCTGTGCCCGTGTCCCTGTGCGAGTGCCCCGAGGTGCGCGTGTGCCTGCGCCGGAGAGAGGGGACGGAGGCGCCTCTCTGCGCTGCTCTCCCGCTCCCTCTCTCTGAACGTCATTTATGTGAGAGGAGCCCTAGCGGCCTCTCCATAGAGCGGCTGGAATGCGAAACGTCAATAGTGACGCCATGGGAGCCTGACGCTACTGACCCCCCCCCCGCCCCAGTGTGTGCGCCGCGCTCCCGCCGCACCGCGCCGAGCCCAGCACAGCCGCGCACGGCCGCGCCGAGAGGTGCGGAGCCGCCGGCAGAGCTGCCGGCAGTGGGACGGGGTTAGCCGGCCGACCGGCCGCCTCGGGGCCGGCAGCCTGCCACAGCCTGGCGAGTCGCTCCCAAGTCAAATATTAATAATAATAATAATAATAATTATTATTATTATTGTTGTTATTATTATGATAATGACAATAACAACGTTAATATATCTTTACTGAAGTGGCTCAAATGAGAAGAACTTTGCTTAGTTACTTAGTTGCAGTTTCAGTATGAATTATTAAAGGTTTCTTTCACTTTTTTTCACTTTTTACCTTTTTGCGTTTTTTCTTTCTCTTTTCTTTTTTTTCTTACTTTCTTTCCCCCTATTTTTCCCTGTTCTACCATTTTTTTCCTTCCCCCCCCTCTTCTTTTCTTTTCTTTCGAAACTTTCCAGCGCGCAGGAGCAAGGAGCAGGTTGCGGGGAGGTGCCGCTCACAGAGCGGGCACTCGTGCGAGCGACCCTGAGAACGTCCGGGCTCCCGCCCGTGTGTGCCTGTGTCTGTCAGTCTGTGTACCTGTGTCTGTGGGTGTCTGCCTGTGTCCGTGTGACTGTCCGGGGCACCGGGCTTGGGGCGGATGGGCCCCCCGCCGCCTTGCCCGGTGCCGTGTTTACATCCACTGCCGGCAGCCGGGATGGCCGCGGCTGTCACCGCGGCCGTGCCGGCCGGTGCCGCGGCTGTGTCTCGCACGGAGAGGCTCCGCCAAGCGAGCTGTCTCGACGGACGGGGGCCGGGGGCGGGCGAGGCGCCCTCGCCCCGAGGAGGAGCGACCGGCCGCGGCGGCGGCACTTTCGCTTTGCCTCTCGATGCACCAGCCCGCCACCGGCACAGCCGCGGAGCCCGGGAGGCGAAGCTGGGACTGGCACAGCACTCGGCGGACGCCGCGGACCCGCGGTCGCGTCCGAGACCGGGATCCTCTTCCCGAGGCGATGCTCGCCGTCCCCTCGCGGGCGCCGGGGCGTCCCCCCCTCCCTCCCTCCCTGCCTGCCGGCTATGCCGGCGGCGCTGCCAGGCCCCGCTCCCCCCGTGGGGGATCCCGCCGGGCTCCCCGCGCGGCCGCGCTCCCCCTGCAGCCGCCGGCCCCCGGCGGGGCCCGGCCCGCGCGCCCACGTCACCACCCTCGTGCCGCCGCCGCGGCCAATCCACGCACAGGACGCGGCGGGCCCCGCACGGCGGGGCGGGGCGCCGCGGGGCTGACGCACGGCGGCCGCGTCATTGACGCAAGCGGCGCTGCTAAATTTAGCGCCGCCGGGCCCCGCGCGGGGCGCTCGGGATCGCGCGCGGGGGAGGGGGCGGGGCCGCGGCCCATTGAGTGGCGGCGGCGGCGGCGGGCGGGCGCGCGGCGCTATTTTTGGCGCACACCCCCCCTAAATCCCCCCCTCCTTCCCGGGTTGTGATCCGGCCAAACCAAATATAGATGCGGGCGGGTATTTATAGCGCCGGCGAGTCCCATTGTCGTGGGGCCACGCCCCTGCCCGGCTTCCTCTGCGCAGGGGGTGGAGTGCTCGGCAGAGCACGGGGGGGGATCCCGACAAGCACCCTAACACCCCTCCGGCAGCCCCTTCGGAGAGGAAAAGCCGCAGTCGGACGCTGGCGGAGGCCGTCTGACCCGACTCTCTTCTCTCACTCTCCCTCTTCCCCCCAAAAAAGGCGTGTCGGGCCGCGTTTGGCGGCTGGGCTTCCCCTCCGCAAGGCCTGCTCGGGGCGATTACCTCGGTGCAGCGTGCTGTTATCCCATCCCCATCCCATCCCCGCCTGCCCCACCCGGCGAACCACTGTTGACATTCCCGAGCCGCGGCCAAGCGCCCGCTGCGGTGGAGGAGCGGGGGGTTGGGGGGTGAGGGGTGGAAGGTGGCGGAGGAGCTGGAGGGAGGATCACCCCCCCGCCCCGGCGGCGAGGGACGCGCGGGGTGTTTCCGCGGCGGGGATGCCCCGCTCGGCCGGCCGTGGCGGGGATACCCCCTGCCTGACGCAACGGAGCGGAGCAGGGGCGGCGGCGGGCACGGCGCATAGCGCCGCGGTGACCTCATGGCAGGAGCGGCGCTGGTTGGGAGTCCTCCCCCCGCCCCCCCTCCAAGCCAGCCCTCCCTCCCCTCCCGCTTGTTGAGTAAGCGCCGGGAGAAGCGAAAATGCCATGACGGGCCGGTGCGCTCATCCTCGGTGCTGACATGCCGCGACAAGGGAGATTCCCTTTGATGCCGCTGCCGGCGTGGGCGGCTGAGGGCAAGGGAAGGGAGAGAGAGAGGGTGGCACTTTCCGCCCACCGCTCACCCCGGGCACCGGCCCCGATAAAAATACTCCACTTTCCATGCTGTAATTTCTCCTTTGTATCTCGGTCTCTCTGCTGGGAAGGGGACTCCGCGGAGCGCCTTTGCCCTCCGGGGCCACTCACCCCCCTCCAAGCGGGCTACCCCCAGGGGAATTAAAGCCCCACCGTCATCCTGAAACTCGCAGCTCCTCACTGAGAGCGCGTGCGAGAACAAAACGTCGGTGCCAGGTGGACGGTCCTAGAAACAGTATTGCCTCCCCCCTCCTGCTTTTCCTCCCCCGAGTACTCCGTTCAACTTCGCAGCTTCCTCGAGCTGTTCCTGTCTCCCACGACGTGAAAATATCGTCATGCGAGAAGGCTAAAAAAAACCCCCAGCCAACAAAACCCACTCCAAACCCAAAACCGGTGGCAAGAGTGTTTTGAAAGCCTTTAAAATAATCTTCGAGGCGCTATTTAAAGAACTGCTACACAGGAAACGGGATATTTGGAGAAAATGATTAGAAAGTGGCGTTGAGAGCGCTACGCGTTTCGGGGAGATGCGGGTGTTGCGCAGGGAGCCGGGCGCTCAGCGGCAGCGGCGCTCAGCCAGGCCAGCAGTTCCCTCTGGGGAGAGCACGGTCTGCTGTCCTGCAGTTGTTTGTGACGCAAGAGGTCACTCACTATATGCAGTGTGCTTCCCAAGCGACGAAAAGGAAGTTCTTTATGCAAGGAACTCCCAATTATTAAGCATAAACACCGAGGCGGAGGGAGAGATAAGGGGCCAGGAACAACACAAGGCAAATTGTCTAACTGATGTGTACACAGCTTGATTCGCTGGAGGCGATGGTGCAGGAGTGAGGGCCAGCCGATGTCGCTCCCGGGGCTTACTGGATAACTCAGGATAATAAAACCAAGCACTGCAACAAGGGGGGGAAGCCTGCTGCAATGTGAAGGAGGTCTTGGGAGAAATAAAGCTCCAGGAAGTGGGGAAGATTGTCAAGGGACATTTGGTGGGTGCTGCCAGAGTTGGGGAGACTGATGGTTACGCAGGGGCACTGGGAGCAGACAGTGTGAAGAGGCTGAGGGGTTTCAGTGCCCACCCATGCATTTGCATTTATGGCCAACTAACTTGATGACAACTCCTTATCAGAATTTGCAGTTGACTTCCCCAAGACCAGAACTTGTACAGTCTAGGCCAGTCTTTAGGCTGCAAATTTCTGGGGTCAAGGCAATGAAAATGTCACTGTTTTTAGGCTTTTACCACAGGACACCCAAGTCAAAAAATGCAATCCAGAAATCCTGATCAGCTGTCATCTATCTGAAGGCACCTAAATTGGACAGTGATAGGACGTGGGGGAATGGCCTTAAGCTGCAGAAGGGCAGGTTGAGATTAGAAGAAATTCTTTACTGTGAAGATGTCGAGGCACTGGAATAGGTTGCCCAGAGAGGTTGTGAACTCCCCATCCCTGAAGATATTTGAGACTAGGCTGGATGGGGCTTTGAGCAACCCGGTCTAGTGGAAGGTTTCCTGCCTATGACATGGGGGTTGGAACTAGATTATCTTTAGGGTCCCTTCCAACCCAAATCATTCTATGATAGATTCAGTAGTGCCACAGAAATGGCACCTAGTCTAACCTCCTATGCAAAGAGTATCCCCTGGGGGTTTTCTTTATAAAATTTCCTATCTTCCTCCAGGATGTAGAAACCAACTGTTCCTCTGCCTAAATGTCACCTTCTAGGAAAAACCCCAAAGAGGAGTCAGTTGGTGCATCCAAATTACACAACAGTTCAGTAGTTTCAGCGCTTGCACGGAAAATAGAACATCCATTCACATCGTTTGTCTGGGGCAGGGGGGCGAGGGTGGGGATGGGGAAACTCAACCTACATTCCCCACCTCCCAGGAGATTGCTGTAATCCCTGCATCATTCTGGGTGGTATCTCACCCACCTGTTTGAAGTGGTGAAGCCACTTTCAGGTTTGTGTGCAAGCACTGTAGTCTAGTGCTTCAGGCTGTCTGCTGGGATGGAGGAGATCTGCCTATCCATTCCTGCTCCAAGTATGGCTTGTGTTATTTCATATTACACACCTATAGTATAAAAATACTATCATGGCCTTAAGCGAACTTTCTTGCCTGACTGAGCACAATTTCTATGTAAAAAAGCTCCTTTTCCCCTCCATACCTTCCTAGGCAACCAATAACCTGGTGATGAGGCCATTCTCTCACATAAAGGTCAATGTGGATATGAGTTTCCTAAAGAGGAGAAAGGAGCTGAATCACAGTTCTTCTGTTTTCTAGGAAGTGGTGTAACTGAAAAAGCTACAGAGCCAACAGATGATAGTACCCACCTCCTTCCAGGTCTGTCTTTGAAAAAGTTCACAGGTGAGCATCTTCAAGGTAGGGTTCTAATACCCTGAGATTTCCTGCAGTCCTAAGCTATGTATCCTTGCTCCAGAGGGGTGGGATTTGGGATATAGCCCCTACCAACTTGTTGCAGTAAGTCTGTTTCGTATCCTTTTCTCACCCT